CAAACAGAATAGGTATCTGCTGATGGTTGTTTGCTCTGGGTCTAAGGGGCAGAAATGAGAATCACATCATTAAAGGTAAAGAAGCATTGTTCCCTTTGGTCAATAGGAAAGCCATACCAATCTCCTTTCTCCTAAGCTCAAGTCAGCAGGCTTCCTTCTTTTGTGGGTGGGAGATTAATTTATGCATCCACTTAGGCTCTGACTCTCAGAAGCCATAGATCCCATCAGTGTTGCCAGGCAAAAGCAGTATTGTTTGCTTAAACAGCTGTGATTAAGACTCAGCACTGTTGTCACAGTTTGTGGCCAACTTTCCAGAAATGTCTCTTTCAGATAAGTGCTGTGAGGCTGGCAGTGACTTATAGGAAGGGAAAGGGGAAATCCTGGTTAGTTTGTGCCTCCTGGGCCTGCTGATAGGCCTCTGTCTGACACTGATGACACCTGGAATTTGCTACCTTCCACTCTGGGCATTGGTGAGCCAGGAAAATCCAGACAAACAGCACCAGGGATAAAGGAGACAGAGAAAACAGGAGTTAGATGGTTCACAGGCTGCAGAGGAGGGGAGGGTCACCTAAAGTACACACATGGAAGTGGGGGAGCTGTCCTCTGTCCCTCCTGGTCCCTGGCAGCCCAGGGAAGGACAAGGAGCATCATTTTCCCAAGCTCTGATGTCCTTGGGTTTGGGAGGGGTAGGAAGGACAGATCTTGGTATTTCTAACCCTTGGCTCCAGGCCTGTCTGAGGGGAGTGAGGGAGGGGCTGTGCCTCTGCTCCACCACACAGAGCTATAGTGATACCTGAGCATCTGGGCTACCTACTTTACATGCAGGGGCCTCCCTGGGTCCTTGATACTATTCCAGGATTCAGACAAGAAGGAACGACCCAAAGCAGGAGGGCATCTTCTTGTGTTCCTCAAATGGGCCCATAGGGTTGTGACTCAGGGCTTCCCTGATTCTTTGTTCTTTCTAGAGTGATATTCTCCCAAATCCTTTCAGCCCCTCACTTCATTGAAGTTTTCCTCAAAGTTTTTGCTTTACAAATGTCTTTTCCAGCCATTTCACCAAAAAAGCCACCTCACTCCTATTGTCCATATCTCTCTGTTTTATTGCCTTTCTTTTTCTCCTATGGAGTAGCTTGACATTAAAGTGTAAATTTAATGGAAGAGCCATGAAAACAGAGCTTTGTTTTTTATTGACCCAACGCATTTAGTGGGCAATGCTGGGGAACAGGCACCCAATAAATAGTAAAACAACAACTAAATCAATAAGTCAAGGAACAAACAAATGAACCTAACAAGGCTGCATGTCAAAATCCACATGTATTGCTGGACATGTGGTTCATGCCTGTAATCCCAGCAGAGATCCAAGGCCAGCTCAGGCGAAAATCACAAGACCCTGTGTCAAAAACTTTACAAAAGCAAAAGAACTGGGGCATGCTCAAGTGAGATGGTACTTGACTAACAAGAGCAAGGTCCTGGGTTCAATCCCCATTACTGCCAGCAAAAAGAAATCCATGTGTGTCAATAACAGTGGGTCATGGTGCTTTTTTCTTGAATATAGATTTCTAAGACATTTATTATGCTGAATAGAAATGAACGAATTTTTTCATGTTTATTCTACTTATTATTAATATTTTTACTTTGGAACTTATTTTATTTTAAAATTTAGGAATTTTCAATTTCCCCTGAGAACATATTTAGCAGTAATACCTTACATTTTTAATGATACTTTCAGATTTACAGAATGATTACAATGCATTATTCCATTTGAATTGTGGCAGGGTGTGATTAAAAGAAAATGGACATTGGAGTCAGAAACATTGGTTTCAAATCCCAGCATGGATACTGCTGTCATGTGGTTTCACCTGTCAGTGTCACTCAGTTTTGTCCCCTGCAAAATGGAAGTGTGCCGACTGTCCTCATGCATCTACGAGGATGAACAAATGCCCACCCTACTGTATTATCAACCCCTTCCATTCACCCAGTATTCCTGTAGGGAGAGGATGAGCAGATGTCAGCTTTCTTGAAGAAAAGAGGGAAAATATGGGTGAGCAAATATGCTTAGAGATTGCCTAGTTGTTTGCCCTCAAAGAAGCAGCAGTAGGAGTTGACTAAAAACAAAAATTGAAGCAAAAGCAAGCAAATAAACAAACAAAAAATGATCTTGACTCTACAAGATTGTTTTCACGGTTTCTTCATTTGGGTTATAATGTGAGATCTTAGATTAGTTGGTCAGCAAAATCACTGCAAGATTTTTTTAGAATATAGATTTCTGAATCTACCCCATAAAGATTATAGTTTGGTTCACCTTGATTGAGGCTTCAAAGTGTGTGTGTGTGTAATTCCTTAGACAAGGTTGGGATCACTGAATTGGATGGCTTCCTGAATTGCAGTGGTGTTTTGGGGCTGCTTCTTAGAATGAACTGTTTTCAAGAACACATTTCCTTGGCTATTATAGGTTCCCTATTCCCACCAGTCTCTAGAGACAGCCAATGCTCAACTGAGGGTCACTCTGAAACTCTCTTAAGTGTTGAGGAACATGAAAGGTGGATGAGGGAGAGAGGACTTTAGAAGCTAAGTTTAAATTTAAGTTATATGAATCCCATAAACTGAGCCTTGTTACAATCACAGGATTCTTTCCTTCTAGGGCTTTATACTTTTGGTTCATCTTTGTAAAACTATGAACAGAAGAAATGTCTTGGTTTGAATGGGGAATGATGACATCCATGAATCACGATGCACTTTTCAGGCACACACTTGTTCTTTAGTTATGCCTGGAAAGGCACAAGGAAGTGGGCTCCAGGCTAATAGAAAGCTCAGGTAGGCATTGATGTTGTGATGGGATCAGACCCTGGGATGCAGCCATGCAGGTGATGAGGTAAGCGATATGGATTGTTACTGACCTCAACCATCTCCAAAGCAGCCACTGTCCAGGAAATCCTGTTTACATTTATGGGAGGAGAATAGACTGACCTCAGCAAAGAGGATCCTGGAGCTCCTGAATTGTCTGGAGGGAACAGACATTTCTGCATCACTTTCCAGGAAAAAGAATGTGCTCCCAGGCAGGCCTTGTAAATATTGTGCAGCTGCCCTCATTGCAGATGTTCCCATTGGGCATCCAGAGTCAGAGTCACACAAATTAAGATTAGCAGTTCTTCCAGGAAGCTTGTTTTAATCCCAGAATGTTTGAAAATCAAAAAGAAAACAGGAAATTTGAGGCCATGCATGACAAGCTGACATTCTAAGGTGCCGTGTCAGTTTCTAAAAGTTACATTAATCTACTTGTAAACATATTGTTATAAGGAGGAAATATAAAATAAAATTAATTCCTAAAAATTTTGCACATTCCTTTCTTATAGCTTGAGTTAGTACAGCAAAGTGAATGAGTAAAACCAACTTCCTAAAACACAGTTTACAACTCTATGTGAACAAACATTCCAACTTTCTATAATAAACATTTAAGAACTGGCATTTCCCATAATAAACTTTCTTATAGTGTCTCACATTAATAAGTCCTTGGAATACTTAAAACAAATCTTATAAGGTTATGGGAAAAAAAATTTGTCCTTTTAGAAAGCAGAGAGAATTTTATTTTTGTGATATATACATTATAGTTTCAGATTTGACTTAATTCATAAAGTAATAGTTTTGCAAGTATTCATTTATCTTTACACCATTTAAAAATATTCACCAGGCATCTGTGTGAAAAATTGTTATTCTCTCTCTCTCTCTCTCTCTCTCTCTCTCTCTCTCTCTATCTTTCTCTCCCTCTCTCTCCTCCTCCACCCCATACTGGTAGTTGAACTCAGGGCCTCATCCTTGCTAGCAGGTAATGTACCACTTGAGCCTTTTTGCATTGGTTATTTTTTGAGATAAGGTTTCTCTTTATGTCTGGGCCAGCTTGCACCACAGTCCTCCTATTTGTGCTTCCCTGTGTAGAGGAGATGACAGGCACTTAGCACCATGTCTAGCCATGGGGTCTTGTGAATTTTGTGCCAGGGTTAGTCTCCATCCATGATCCTCTCCATTTTTTTGCCTCCCAAGTAGCTAGTATTTCAGGCTTGAAGCCACTGTGCCTGGCAAAATGTTTTATTCGGTGAGGGCTTTTCATGAACTATTACATGAATCCATGGCTTCTGTTCCAATTGTATATTCCAGCCAAGATTGGGCTAAAGATTCTCTCAGTGATGGAGCCATGAATTTGTGGGCCTTTTCTCCGAGAGGCAGGTTTAATAAGACGTGACTGATCATGTGTCCATATGTGGCAAACTCCATGCCGGATGAGTGAGTAAGGCCATGAGAATAAAGGAAGTAGTTCCTAGCCTTGGGAAGCTTACTGTTATTGGCAAAGACATGACATAATATAGGAAATGGGGTAAGAACAACTCTAAGGTTGGATATTATATACATAGATTGGCCTGCTTGTAGTGGGTATGTGCTGGGGAGCAAATCCATTTAGAATGCCAGCAGTCACTTTCTAGAGACAATTTGGAAAAGCCATGAAGAACTGGGAATCTTTAATTTTATGTTCCAAGTTGCCAAACTTTTGTTGAACACTTGTCATGTTCTGGACACTGAAGACACAAAGGGACCATCAAAGACCACACAAGCTGGGCATAGACCAAGAGTAAAGGAAGTTAATTAGTTGACTTTTCCTGGAGGTCTTCAAGCCATGTATAGTTCAGCTTTTAGAATGTGTGTGTATCAACTGCAAGGTTCTGGAAACACACCGACTCATTCTTGTGGGTCAACACTGTGACTTTTATTGACTGAACTGCTGCTTCCCCTACTTCCATATTTGCTCCATCACAGTTTGCTCTCCATGGTGGTCCTTGGCCGTGGACATCAGTGTTGGGGGTGGTAGTTGGTGAGTAAACAAACGCTTGTCTTTCTCTAAAAGGATACATTAGAAATTTTTCTGGGCTGGCTATGCTGCAATTTCCATCACGAGTCTCTCTCCATGTACCATGGAAAGTGATCACAAACTTCATGTGCTTTCATTTCAGTTGCCACGAGTAGTCCCACAGTGGAGGAGTATACTGTAGATATTGAGATCAGTTTTGGAAATGTCTCCTTCCTGGAGTCCATCAAAGCTCACCTGAACAGTCTCAGTTTTCCCATTCAAGGAAACAACACTGACCCAGCCACTGACATTGTCAACATAGCAGTGACAACAGGTGAGTGAGATGCTCATTACTTGAGAATGAATGCTTGTGAATATCAGGAAGAAGGCTAACTGAGATCTTGGCTATTATAGCAAATTATACTTCGTAGGCAAGTGAAATGACTCAACAGGCCTATGTGATTTTGTGACTTCACAGCCTTCCAAGATGAATCCACTGTCAATAAACTTTGTAGTCAGAATTTCCTTATTTTAAGTGGTAACCAAAGATTTGCCTGGTGGCTTCTCTGATGGTTGCCATAAAGTGGTCCCAAGGTATAGCAGGTCTTTCACAACAAATTACTGGATTTTCTTCCTTTGGGCAATCAGCAGGTATAGCAAGGACTGGCTCAAGATATTAAGAAGTAGCAAGTTTCCTTCTTTTGGACATCACAGATCAGGAAATATGAACCAGTCACATAGCTGGATCAGAAGCAGAACCTCTCAGGCAATAGATTGGACTTTCTGGTTACTAACTCCTTTCCAAGATCATGCTTTATCCTCTACATCTCAGGGGACCTTCATCAGGGACTTGGTATGTCTTAGGAGTTGTGGGATGAGGCTACCCTTTGTCCTATAAGTTATTGCTTTATAAATTAGAAAGCACAACTGCTGTTGGGTTTTATTATCCTAAAGTGAATTTGAGAATAAGATTATTACTTTTCAAATTACTTTTGAAGTCTTATATTTTCATAGTCAATCTTCCTGTCAGTATGATTCTGAATATAAGCTACTTGAACTTGACACAATTCCTTTACAACCTCTTTTGAATGCCATTTCCCACCAAATTCTACCATTAGTATTAATTTCCTGGGGTTAATGGCTTTCCAAAAGGATGTCATTGTGCAGTGTGAGTGCTCCATCAGTGGTGGCCTTATGCTGTATTCCCCCAAATTATTTTTGCACAAAAATAATTGAAATAATAACATTTCAAAAAACCCTTTGGAACACGCATAGGAAACATCTCTCTATGTTCCCACTCAACACAGATCCTCTGCTTCTGAAATTATTTTCCCTACCTATGTGGGCAAATTAAGTACTGGGTAGATTTTTAGACAATTTCATTTTGTTCCACAACATTTTATTGGAAACCTTTGATGTCTAAGGTTAGATCATTGACCAGCCCCTTCTTCTCATGTTTTCCTCTTCTCCAACTTCCAACCACTTACCTTATGGGCTTTTCAAGAAAGATAGTTTTCATAATAGTGACTAAAACTGAGGAAGTTTGAGGCTAGAAAATATGTGTAAAAGAACTAAACAGTACCTGAATATGATGGGTCATTTGGAGATGATAGTTTTTCCATCCCCCTGAGCCATGTTTACATAGTAGCTGGGAATCAAAAGTCCTTCAAATACTTTCCCCACATCCTTTCTCCTCCCAAAACCAAAACCAAAAAAAAAAAAAAAAAAAAAAACCTCTTTGATATGAAATTTTAGGTCAGTAAAAGGAAGATTTTTACAAAGGCGTTCTTGTTAACTAGCCTAAAATTACCCCCAGCCTGACGCTTGCCACCCTTACTATAACATTTGATTTCTTCTATTGCTGACCCTTCTGCCCACTCCAACCTACAGCATTCAAGGAATGATTAGAAGTTGGTTATCCCTCCTGTTTTACACTTTCCTTTGAGTGGAACACTTTGTCTGGGCACCCATCTACAGAACAAACTTCCAAAGATGTGACTTTGGTCCAGCTATAGAAATTCATTCAAGGGACTCTGTTTTAAGAGCATTTTTATGTCCCCAGTGAGACCAGAATCCACTTGATCTGTTTACATTTGTCTTGAAATACAAAGGGCAGAAATTTATTTTCACCTAATAGATTTATTATTTACTGCTATCTAAAAATTACCCTAAACCTTAGCATTGTAAAACAATAGACATTTGTTATCTTGCAGTTTCTGAGGGTCAGGAATCTGGGAGTAGCTTAGCTGAGTGTTCTGGTTCAGCATCTCTCATGAACTTATCATTGAGCTGTCAGTTGAGTTGAAGTCATCTGAAGGCTTTACTGGGACTGGACAATCAGCTGCAAGTCGCCCTTTTGGTTGTTGACAGGACACAGTTTCTTAGTAGCTATTGGCTGAAAACATTTGTTCCTTTCCCTATGGATGTCTCCATTCCCTTCACCCCAAAAGTAGAGAGAGAAAGAAGGAGGAGAAGGAGAAAGGAGAGGAGAAAGGGAGAAAGAAGAAGGGAGAGAGGGAGAAGAAGGAAGGAAGAGAAGGAGGAAAAAAGAAAGAAAGAACCAAAAGGGAAACTTTTATAACCTAATTTCAGAAGCATCATACCATCACTTCTACCGTATTCTGTTGGTCACACAGAGCAACCCTAGCACAACATAAGGGAGTACTTTAAAACAATGTGAATTTCTAGAGGAAGGGATGGTCAGGGGTCATCTTAAAGGCTGTCTACTACACACTCTGAATCCAGTGATCTATTTTTCATCATCAATATCTGGTGGCCGTCTGCTATTAGGCATGACCATGTGAAAGATGACTCAACATTGATTAGTCACTCAATAGGCAATAATCACAGCAGCTGTCTTTCAGGTTGGCCACACCTAGATGCATATATACCTACATGAATCTTGAGCAAACTTATTGATCTTCTCAGAAGGACAAGATAGAATATCCTACAAGTATAGATAGGTGCAGCCTATAAATCCAAAGGTGGTAACCACCTTCTCTCTTCTTACTTCCCCTGTTGATGACAGTCTGCAAACCTACTGGAAACGAAATCTGGTGCTCCTGTGAGCAAGGCTATGAGTGGCCTGAGGAAAGGTGCCTCCACAATCTCACCTGTCAAGATTATGGCAGCTCTCTCTCAGGGCAATATTGCAGTTGCCTTAAAGGACTTCCTTCCGAGGGACCTTTCTGTCAGCTCTCAGAAGGTAATTATTGCTTTTTAAAGGCTTGTTGAGTGGCTGTTCAACTTCATCTTAAGCAAATGCTTCTGTTCACTATATTCAAACACTAACATGAGATTGTTAAGTACCGCCCTGTGTTTTTTAGGATATGTGACCCTGAAAATAAGAGTCAGACTGAATGTGGGATTTCAAGAAGACCTTAAGAACACGTCCTCTGCCCTCTACAGATCCTATAAGACTGACTTGGAAAGAGCAGTAGGTTTTGGCCCCAGGAGCCTCTTAACTAATATTTTTTTTAGACTAAACTGATTCTATTTCATTCACAGTTGACAGTTTACTTAGGTCATTTGTAATCTGTGAATGTGCATTTGAAGTTATTCATATCTATCTGGGATGGTGAATTAAAACATGCTTAATCCAAACAGTACAGTATGGTACAACTTCTACCCAAAGTAGAAAAGATCCAGATAATATTTGGTGGTATCAATTCACTAAAATTTATTCAGAGGTCCGTGAACCTGGTCGAGAAGCCACTGATTGGTTCATATCTCTTCTTCTCATGTGACATGGATGAAAATCATAATCATCTTTGGGGAATACTAACCCAAGTCTGAGCATGGAGGGTTTCAAACTTCTCTATGCCAGAAATCGCTAAGTGTTCACACTTAAGACAGTTCAAATTTACTTATGTAAAAAATAGAGTCTACTCTATGAGAGTAAGTTAGCTACCCAGTGCTACTTTAAAGTGCTTTGTGTTGGATTAATTCATCTAAACCAAAATGCTTTGCTTGAGGTAACTCATTGGAAACAGCTTCTCAACTGGTGTGGTACAAATCATTACAGGTGAGCTGAAATAATGACTTCCCATAATTTTCATGGCAGCTCAGCCTCTGCCTGAGGATAGGCACAACCTCCTGGTTATCCCATTATACCACACAAATATTGTCATTTTCCATGGGTGTCATGATGGAGTGGTGATTGAGAAGAGCCCTTGGACGTCTGATTTACACATCTGGCACATAATAATTCTGCACAATAGGAGAGCCTTCCCCACACATACCACACACTAAATTTTATACTTTTAAGGAAAGAGAGGTTCACGTGTTAATCTTTGGGTCTCACCCATACAGGTATCGGGATGAGTTCTTGGTGCCCTGTAGCAGTCCTGTTAATGTAACTTGAATCAGATAGGGTCTCCTGTGGGGTTCATATTCAGAGGAACCAAGTGGAGAAGAGCATCATCAAAAACCATATTAGGTCAACCAATGTTGCAATGTGGTCAAGTGAGGGATGAGGTTCTAAGGTGGCCACGAGAGCACACCTGACTCCCAGACCTCCAGCAGCAGGGATGTAGTTGAGAAAAACTTTAGGCACTGCTGCTGAAACTCATGAGCACATTTGCTGCTCCCTACTGAGGAATGAGCACAGTGCTCTGTGTCCATCTGTATCTGGACTCCTTGGAAGACTAATGGAACCTTCCCAGGCTCAGGCTAGGATACTTTCACTCAGTCTTCCCTCCTTCCTTTCACTTGGGATCTGATACCTCTCTTATCTTCTCCATTTCCTCCACATTTTCTTTCCTGGACATTTTCCTGAGCAATTTTTTTTGTACACTTGATCTAGTATCTGCGTCCCTGAGAACTCAGGTTGACAAAGGTAGTTAGGAATTACTTCTTCAAAGATCTGTTAATACCAGGGCTAACAAAATATATGGGAGACAATTGTATGCAGAGTGATTAGGTGTGAGTTTTCTACTCTGTCTCAAGCCTTTGCTGTCCCTCACCAGCCTCTAACACATGACATTGTCTTGCCTTATTTTCCAGTTCTGGGAAGGCTACAGAATTTTACCAGGCTTCAGATCAGTGACGGTGACAGAGTTCACGTAAGAATGCTATAATTTATTCATTTTTCTTTGATGGCAGAAACCAATATATCAATGAAGGAGAATAACCATTAGTGGGGCACCACATAGGGTGCTCAGCAGGAGCAGCTGGTAGAGGTAAAGGTTAAGGAAAAGTTTCTCAGCCCTTATAGATGTATGTATTTAGTAGCAAGGAGCAAAAATCGATGTGCTCATTTTATGCATGCAAGAATTTTGCAGGGATATACATTGTAATCTAGAAAGTTAAGAAATACAAAATTGAAATAATATCATGTGACAATGGCTTTATACAAGAAGATTCTACTGTCCAGTCAGGACCATAGAGTTACATGCTGCAACATGAATGGCTCCTGGGAGTTGTGCACTCCAGCAGCCCTGAGTGGGTTTACTCACTATTTCAGAGACTTGGTTGTCAATCTTCAAAATTGGGAATCTGTACAGGACCATCAGGGTTTTGACTTCACTCTGCATTCATTATATCAGGAAGTTCTGCATCATGGCTGCCTCCCTATGAGTAGCTTGTGTGACTCCATTGATGTTCACAAATCCTCATCTGGCAACTTCCATTCATATTCCCTGTCTACAGGCATTTGGGTGTGCAAGCACTGCTGGGGACATCACTGAGAGTTTGAGGGCAAGTTTATTTTAGTGATTTCTTGGGGTTAATAGTACCCTAGTAGTTCCTGCTCTTGTATGCTCCCCTGCAAATAAACCACAAAGATCTAGGTTCCAGGTTAATTACTGCTTTACTGGTCTCTATCTAGCAAAGGCAGTGTGATCGTGAATTATGAAATCAGAACTACAACACCAGCACCTGGGTTAATTCAGAAAGCCAACAAGCAAGTCATGCAGAGCCTCAATCAGACCTACAAAATGGACTACAACTCCTTTCAAGGAGTGCCTAGCAGTAAGTGAAACCTCACTTCATTATTCCCATATGTAGATTCCATTTCAATATGGTATTGGTGTTAATGGTTATGCTTAAACCTAGGAAATCCCATTAAGACATTCTCTGGAGAGAGACTTATATTGTGCTCTCTTCAGTCAGTACTTCCCAACCTGGCTATTGTCACCACCCCTGAGATGCAAGCAAGAGGGGAACAGACATTGTAAAACAGGGCTACAGGGCCATAGGGGTTTGTAGATTTTCTACATTCACATGCCCAAAACATCCAAAAAAATTAAAAATAAAAATAAAAGTAACATTTCAGTGGAGGTTAATCACAATAGGTACAATTACTAAATAAGTGATCATCTATGTTTTAGATCAGTGGATCTCAGAGTATGGGTCCAATACCAGTAGCATCAACACTATCTAGGAACTTGTTATAAAGGCAAAGTTTTTTCCCCCTTCTCCCCTACCAGATGTACAGGGGGAGACAATTTGTATTTCACCATGCTCTCCAGGTGCACAAGGAAATTTCGGGATCTTTGTGTCACTTGATGATAAACTCTGCAATTGTAGATGTTCACCTCCATTTTAAAATTGTGATTCACAGTTGGGCTCTGGTAGTAGTAGATGGGGACTTGTAGTTCCCTGGGGTGAGTAAGGTGGCCAATAGGGAGACATGCAGTGAGCAGGGATAGGTTGGTAGATGTTCTAGAAAACTTGGATCTGTAGTCTGGAATAAAGACAATTTCTCCTTGGAATTTACAATGGGGAGGGCAGTGAAAGGATGTAGGTGCCCTTGAGGAAAGAGCCCCATGGTCAGGAGTCCATCAGCCTCACAGTAGATTTATATCCTTTTTGTTCATGTTCTCTGTTGGGTTTTTTAAACATCAAGTCATTTTTAATATAAAATAATCAAAGTGATAGAAGTAATTAAGGAAAGTATGACAGATATATACAATGAAAAGAAAAGCACTGTAACCTAAGATAAAATAGGAAAATAAAAACTCAAAATAAATCAGATAGAAAAAAAATTAATAAAAATCAGAAATTTAAAGAAAAGGAGATAGTAGCCTAAAGCTATGAGCTCACATAGGAGCAATCTCAGCAATACCACCCTCTTCCTGACCCGTAATACCAACTGGCTAACCAAGAGATATGTTCTTTTCTGTCCCAAAAAGTGCTTTTGGTATGTGGTTCTAAGGGTGTAAGAGAGTTAGTACTCTCCAGCATAGTAAAACTGAAGTTGTGAGCCTCTTCCCCAAAATTTCAGCCAATCAGAAGAGACCCATTTAAATAAATAAATGTATGGTGGTTTGCCGATTATGCTGACTGTCCATCCAGACACATGCTTCTGACAGTAGAGTTCATACAAGTGTGTTCATATCCATGGCTTGTTCTGCCAAAGAGCAATGGAGTCATCATGAAGGGCACTCAACAGCCTCCACCCATGCAGACAGTATGTGTCCATTTCTGTCCTCCTTTGAAGACCAGGATTGGATTGTATATTATGCACAGCCTTAAACTAATAAATGTGAGCTGGTAAACACACAATTCCGTGAAGAACCTGGGCACCATCCTATTCACCGTGTTGGCATTGCTACTTCAGAACACAGATTTTCAAACCATTGTGTGTGTAATGGGGCATTTCCAAAATTAAGATTATGAGCATATTGGGGGGATGAGAGCAAGAAACACAAATGCTGAATGAGTGAGTTGTTATCAGGAACGTGCTTTGAAATTCATCTTCATGAATCACAAGGGGAATCTGGCAGTTTGCAGAATAGTTGCATACATTAATTCTCTAGTGCTGTTTGGTTAAACAGCAGGACCCTTAACACAACTCCTCCTTCTTTTGTCACTTTCACTAAGTTTATATTCAATATCACTATATGATACTGACAACCTTATCAATCTTATTCATTAGCCATAGTCATAATTAATTTTCTGGATTAAGTCCAATGTGTTTACATATATCTCATTCTGACTTATCTAGTGAGGTAGTTATCATCTCCAAGTTAGAGGTGAGGAAACAGAATCTTTATGGAGATTAAATGACTAAAGGGCACATAGTAAGTGATTTAAGTTTGAGAGACTTCAATGCTGCATAAAATGTTCACAGAGAGTCTTGCTCCCAAGAACTGAATGTCATTTTTTAAAATCCAATTTTAAACAGGAAACTTAAATGGTAATAAGAAATATTTAAATAATCTGATATTTTGGCTAAAATACACCACTCAAAATTAATTTTCTGGTGATCTATTTAAATAAATATTAAATTTGGGATGTTCTGGTCTGAGAATCAAGTCTCATGTAAAAGAGGCCCCATGAGACTCCTTACCCCTGCTCGTCTGATTTCCTCAATGCACAAAACTCATGAAGAACATTGCACACAAAAAAATACAGCTCAGAGGGAAAACTGCATGTTGTGCAACAAAGAGCATCAAAAACACACACAAAAATAACCAACACTGTGCTTTTATTTTTATCTGTGAAATGACTTAATGCAGTGATTATCAGGGTTTTTACTACTTGAGCAGTAATAATAGCAACCAAGTCACTTCCCAAGGTTGCTCTCATTGCTCTGGTTCTCTGAGGGCCACATGGTTACTTGTGAGACAGAACCAAGACTCAAATCTGCATCTGCCTGTCTACAAAGCCCTACTCTTAAAGGAGTATGGAGATTAAACCTTAAAAATTCTTATTTCCCAAGCACACTTTATTATCAATAATTAACTTGTTTTCCCATTTCTAACTCTTTGAAGACTTAGATCAAATCTTTCAGTAAGCACAAGATACCAGTTAGTAATAAGAAGTGGTTGATATTATTCTAGCCAATAGCCAAGAAACTTGATGTTTGTTAGTTTGTGTGTCTTTTTCTGAAGCTGCTGTGCAATTTTCTACCAGACTTTTTGAAATATTGAAAGCAGCTTTGGGAATCCTTCTTACTGATTATTACCACTAGGAACTCTTAAGTGATCTTAAGACACCAGGTGCAAAGACCCTGAACTGGAAGCCATGCCTCTAGTATCTGACAGGCTGTACCTGGAGGGCCTCCCATAACACCTGTGCAGGGATGGAGTGAGGCACCATGTTGCTCCATCTTACAGCATGTTGGGTGCTGAGGAGGATCCCTGCATGGTAGGCCTGATGAGTAGTTTACTTTGGGATTCTAACACCTTTCCCTTGGATTTCCAGATGAAACTAAATTCACTATCATACCAGAAATCATCTTTGAAGGAGACACAGTAACTCTGGAGTGTGAGAATGAAATTTTGTCCCCCAACGTGACTTGGTACTATGGAGAAAATCGCTCTGATATCCAGAACATGAGTAGATTCTCAATTTACACCTCAATGCTTAACAACATAACCTCACTCTCACGTCTGACCATTTACAACTTCACCCAGGATGATGCAGGTGAGTTTCTTCTCACTGACTTGTGTGAAGAATGGAATGGAGTGGTCATAAAGGAGCAAAGCATATTACACATAGATAGTGTTTCTCTTCTCAAAAAAAAGTCTCCTGGCTCATGCTTCAACATGGAAAATGCTTCCTATGACATGTTAAATTACTTTTTAAAGAAATTTATTTTCTTTATTTTTATTTAGTATACATTATTTTGCTATTAATTATTTTCATTTAAATTCTAAAAAAAAATTAAGCAGTTTTGTTGAGGTAGAATTGATGTGTGATATTTCACACATATGTGAAATATCTAACTTACTGAGTTTTGACACATGTACAACTGTGAAATCATCACAAAACTCAAGATGGTGAACATATCCATCCTCTCAAATTTTTCTTCTCCATTGTAATTCCTGTCTTCAGCCTTTCCCCACCCTCCAGCTCACTCCAAGCAACTACATAAATTTTGATTCTTCAGAGACTAGTAATGAACCTGACATAGTCTAGAATAACTTCATTTTAAACTGTTTGTCAATAAGTCCAATAAGTCCAGCTATTTTTCTCTTCATGAAAACGTAGGCTGTTGACACCTGAGTCCAGTCAGAATCTTTGTTGATTCTGATTTGCCCCAGTGTTAAATTGGATGCCAAAATTGTCCACAATATTCTAATTCTCCAAGGATTCTCAATTTTCCTCCCTCTTCCAGTCCTACACTTATTTCTTACCAGCAAAAGCCCAAGAGTTCTACAATCAGGACATCTATCTACCTGTTACCTTGTGGCATCAGGAAAAATATCTTCATTGACTCTGCACTTTCTGAACGTTCCTTCTTTAGAAAAATTGTTTTTCCTAGCATATATGCATTGTACAAATTGAAGGGCTTCATTGTGACTTGTCAATCCGTGCATATAATGTACTATGGTCATGTTCTCTCCATTACTTTCTCATTCCCCTCCCCCAATCCTTCTTTTGTAACTTTCTTGCTCATTTTCTAAGATGGGTTATGACCTTTTCATATGTTCATACAAATGTACTTCAATCATAACTCCCAACACACTGCTCTCTTTCCCTCTTCCTAACTCCTGCTGGTTTCCTCCCAAATAATCTCCCTCTTATATCTGTATCTTTTAAAAAAATTTACATACCACATGAGAGGAAACATGGTATTTGTCTTTCTGAGTCTTTAGGAATGTTTAGACCAAGTCTCAGATGCTTTGAAGATAATGCTTTAGGGCATGTTGCCATGATACATGAGATGAGGTTCTCAAAGGAAATGCATAATAATAAATGACTCTGTATCCTTTACAGGTGAATATGCTTGCAAACTGTTATTGGATATTTTTGAATATGGAACCACAAAAAGAGTAGATGTCATACCCGTTCGAATTTTGGCAAAGGAAGAAATGAAGGTGGTGTGTGACAACAATCCCGTAACGCTGACCTGCTGCAGTGAGACTAGTGCAAACTGGAGTAGAGTTGAATGGAAGCAGGAAGGGAAAATAAGCATTGTAGGTAAGAATGTTAACTGAAGACATTTTGTTAATAAGCCTTTGCTTGCTTTTTGGCCACTTAAAAATGGGAGATGTGATGGGAAGCAAGGGAAATGTCAGATGTCTGTTTTTTCTGAACAGAAAACACTAGATTTAATTCCATCTTAGTCACTCTAGAATAAAACTCTTAAACTACATTCATATAAGCATCATGCTTGGGTTATGGATGAGATCTCAGCAGTAGAAGGATTCAGAAAGAGTGATCTTTATGGCATGAGGCATCTCCTACTTTCAGAACAGCTTGTTCCACCTTCCTTTCCTTTCCATCTTCAGCAACAAGGTAAGGTTGACTTAGCTTTGATTCTGTGATTGACTTATCATTCCAATCTGACATGGAGCTTCTCCTTTCTGTGCTCTTCTGTTGGTATCCAGCTCACTTATACACTTACTTCAGTCTTTTCTATCTCTTTATTCCACTGTTGTTTCTCTCGGTAGATCTGTTTGTCCCTCAATTGTTTTGTGTCAATTTCCCCATCTTGTTTCCTGTTGGTTTAAATGGGATCTGACATGAAGTTCTTAATTCTCCAATTAATACAAATGAATGAATTAGTGGAGTTGATTATGATGATGATAATATAATAATAAAAGCAGCAATAGTGACACTGTCTTATAGAACACTTTTACAAAAATGTTAACCTGTTTTTTTTAAAGTGGTCACTTTTTATCACATTTAAACTTTAGCATAAGTTTGAAGCTGACAATATTACCTGCAATATGATGATAAGGTAATGGAGATCCATATTAAATGGCTTATCTAAGGTGGTGACAATATGAGAAGAAAAGAATTAGGATTCCCCATAGATCTTTCACAAGACCTGTGTTTGTCTTGACCATCCTGATCATCCTGGTGAGCTAGCACTGGCAGGAGCTGGCCTGACAGATTGGATGGCAGAAAACTGTTTTTTTACTTAGAAATCACATAGAACTGCATCCACCTCTTCTCTTAATAAACAACAGTATTATGTGCCCACCCTTAAAGAAAAAAAAACTTTAAAATATGACTTTACTTTGGAATTCATTAGGGTGATAAGCCTTCATTTTACAGTCTTTGCTCTTGGTGTTATACTTGCACCATTTTTTTTAAAGCACAGAAAAACCAATCTATATGCAAATTTTCCTGAGCACATATGTTTTGCAAAGCATATTTCACCTGCAGGGCTTGCATTCCACCTCAGAAGAATGGGAAAGGCATCAGGTAACTGTTGAAAATATTGGCACATTAGTCATGTCCCTGATTTTTTAAGGAAGAGGAAGTGTAGGCGTCCTGAAGGAACTGCCAGATGGGAGAAAGCCCTTGCACAATTCCTGTGGTACTGACAGAGAAGCTTTCAACCCTGAGAGGTGACAAACCTCACCCTCTGGCTGAGGAACCAGGAAGTCTGTGCTGCAGATGCTCAGGGACCTCTCTGGTGATCACTTCTGCAGCCTTTCCTAATGCCCAGTCCAAGCTGAACCCACTACAGAACAATGGATTTCCTGCCATAGGGATGGCCACCTGGAGACCACTGAAGAATTTCACCTTTGCTCTGGCACCCAGCCCGTCTTCCTCTACCCTTTGCTGCCCCATTTTCACAGCTTTTTCTTGACACATATTCTTTTAAACACCATTTTCCCCAGTCAACTGACTGGGAAGCACTCAAGCAGAATAGTTAACTCCAAAACATTTCTCAGAGTCAGTTGCATTTTCAAAGCACCCAAATGGGACATGACAAAAAGAGAGTGATCAGCACCAGGAGAATATCTAACTTTAAAAGGAGTAACATCCAATGAGGATCTCCCACAGCACTGAGGAAGAGTGAAGGGATGTTCTTGAAGGGTATCACTATCATTAAACACTCATTATCATATAATGATAGTGGCAAGTTCAGTATATTCACTGTTTTTGTTTCAATGTTTATCTCAGTTTTTCTACCCCCTCTTTTCCCCCCAAATTTTATGAAGTATGTACCATCATCACCACTTTATAGACAATAGGGATATTAACTCATTTGAGCAGCGAGCTTGTCGTTGCATACCATCTCTTCTCCTTGAACAAAGCAACCGACTCATCAGCCTCATTCAGTACTTTCCATTCAGGACCTGAATTGCACAACCCCTGGGGAGATGTAAGGAACACAATGCATATGATGCTAGACCAGGGGTCATGCTTTCTTTTCTGAGTTTACTACCTCCTCTGGAGCCCCAGCTCCTCTTTCCCTTTATTTTTCAGCTTACTTATTATTCAGAACTACTTAGCATTTCCTAAAAGAGATCTGCATGCTGTTGCTTTGTGCTTTTGTGTCTACCAGTTTTCTTACATAATTGTAGAATCCTTTCTCCAAGCAAAATCTTACAAGATTATATAAGAGAGGGCTTTCAACCTTAGTACCATTGACATTTTGGGCCAGATAATTCTTGACTCTAAGGGTTATGCTGTGCATCATAGGATGTTTAACAGCAACTTTGGCTAAGCTAGTCATACTTCCAGATGCAAGAGCCAAAAATGTCTTTGAATGCTGCCAAATGTCCTTTGGGACCAAATGCATGTCTAATACGTAAAGCAAACCAGAATGGAGCTGCTGTAGCTAAAAGAGGGTGGGCAACTTGGACCCCACATAACTTATTATCCTCCCATCCTTAAACAGCTCCTGCCCCTAGAGTGGCTTAATAGAATGCTAAGTTCTACAGGGAGCACTGATTTATACACTCACCCCATACAAGTCCCATACCAGAACCACAACCCCCATATCTCTCCACTAAAACTATAAATGCTTTTCAGGGCTTAGAGGAAATCCTCCTCTTCTCTGAAAACTTTCTTAGTCTCTCCACTAAAACACTCCTCCTTTCAGTCTACATGTAATATTGAGCTCTGTCTTATGAAACTTACCTATTACACATTATCATTATTTCTGTACATTTCTTTGTGCATTCCATTCTGCATAGCTTATTGTCTTGCATGTTAGTTTGGTTAAAAAAAAAAGTTGGATCTTTAAGGATGACTAAGAATCAACAGGAGAAGGAGGGGAGGAAAATGCTCCAGATGCAAACACAGGCACAGAGTACAGCTGCAGAGCATGTCAAAGGCCCAGAATGTGGCTTAGTTTTTAAGAGAGGGATGTAGAATTAGATTGAGAGGATAATGGCAGATTAAAAGCATGCTGTATATAAATGCCCTATTTCATGCTAAGGAAATTTGACTTTATTCTCCACACCATGGGAAGATTTTAAAGGTAAAAGGAGAATTGTCAGATGATCAGAGCTGAACTGTCAAAAACTAAAATTTCAGGTAATGTAACCATTAGGTTGAAGGGGGAAATAACTGAAAACAGAGGTCTGGATAAAATAGTTTGCAAAGTGGAAAGTGCAAACAGCATATCATGGTTCCTGGGCAGAGACTGTGATGAAGACAGAAATGCTTCAGAAGTATATCCTGTAAGATTTTTCATAACCGTGTAGAGAGGTACAATGTGAGGAAATGCAAGTAATTAGAGATGACTTAAAGATTTTTAATTTGGGGAGCTGCTGGTGGTAGAGAGAGGAAGCACTGGAAGATGGACATGTTTTATCTGGAGAAAAATAAATAAATTGCATGTGTTGAGTTGGAGGCACTGGAAATGTCAAATCAACACTTGGGAATTTGCTTCTAAGGTTTCCAACAGGGTGTTTCTCTTAGAATAGTGCAGAGAGCCATCCAAACAATGCGTATCACAGAAGCCATAGCTTCAGATGAGATTGCTCAGTGAAAAAAGTGGAGAAAAGACGAGGGAAGGGGCTATTTCAGAACCCTTGGGGGAAAGACCAATATCCTGAGAAATACATGCATTTAAGAGGGGAATGGCAGTAAAGGAACCAGGGAAGGAGATCCAGAAGGAGGGATGAAGACAGAAGAGAAGCAGAAGAGACCTCTAGGGTCAAGCAGCCACGTCAGAGAGAATGAACAGTAGCCTGGGATGCTGTAGTCCAGGTAGCATGAGAAGCCTCTGGATGGGGAAAGAGGAGGTCACTGTTGACCTTAAAGATAGACTCTTGGTAACAAAGGGGGTGAAGAAGACTAATTGCAAAGATGCAATAAAAGCATAGGAGTGGAAAATTAGAGGTGGCAAATGCAAAATCATCATGATAAGAAAGGAGGAAAATGTATTTGTCAGTAGAGGAGCTTTTGGAGGAGGGAAGGGCTGTTTTAGGAAGGAAGACTTGAGTATATGTGGAGGACGAACTGAAGGAACCAGAGGACAAATTAAAGTCACAGAGAGAGGAAAAGTAAATGATTGGTTAATGCCCTGGGGGATTTGGAGAAAGTGTCTTTTCAAAAGATAAGTGGAGGAGTGAGCCCTAGAAAGGGTAGGGACATTTGTTCCTATGAGCTAGGAAACAGTTTAGTCAAGGTGCATGAAGAAGGAAATCAATTGGATGATTTGAACAACCATTTGGGGAGGAAAGCTGGTTATGGGACAACCAAAGTTTTCAAAAATCATTGGTTTACCAGAGCTGGAATAGATGCACTTACTTTGGCACCATTCAAGAGGCTTCTTCTTCTTCCTTCATTTTTGAAGGGTAGTATTTGAAGAACACGTTAGGAGTGTATGGCAGCAGGTGACGTGAGAGGAGAGAGAATGAAGGGACTGGAGTTGGAAGAATCAGACATGAGGGTGTCCTAGAGTTCTAGGCAGGAGGTATAGATGTCTTGGAGGGTGTCATGCTTCTGGGAATAGAAAGGAAGATAGGAAAACAGAGGTATATTGAAGGGGGAAACTTCTAGTGACTGAGAAAGCACAAAGTTGAAACTTTCACTAAAACCTACAAATTTAAAAAGAGAGAGCAAACTGTGAAAATGCTTTCAAATAAGATGAATCCCACTCATCCCAGGATACTTTTCCTACTTTCAATAACAGTACTGATCTAAAAATTATGATATGCTCTTTTTCCTTCAAGTTAAAATTATACCCAAACACCCTACTCTCTCTCTCTCTCTCTCTCTCTCTCTCTCTCTCTCTCTATCTATCTACTTCACATCTGATAACTGTCACTAATGGTCTTTATTGGGGACAAGCCTCAGCCAAGCACTATCCTAAGTGTTTATGTATATTATCTTATTGAACCTCCATATAGTACTAGACAGCAGCTACTTTTTTATCCCCCACTTTGCTGCTGAATAAACTGAGACACAGAGCAGTGAAGTGGCAGTCTCAACAATATCCCACTCGTAAGTGATAGAGTTTTGGAATCCAGACAACCTATATCTAGAGTTTATGTTCCTGGCCACTACACCATCCTGTCTCCATTCAAAGAGAACAAATCCAATTTAAATAGTAACTCATTTTTATTGATTTGGTTTTTGTTACTAAATCGGAGAGTTAACTAACCATAACAGTGAAATAATTACGTATGTCTTGCAGGAATTCCAGAAACAGATCCGAATTCTACTTGCAGCACTTACACCCTCAAGGCAGATGGAGCCCAATGCCCCAGTGGATCATCAGGAACAACAGTCATCTATACTTGTGAGTTCATCCGCACCTATGGAGCCAGAGGCAGTAAGAGCATAGAAGTGACATTCATCTCTGTGGGTAAGAACTCTTTCACTAGAATTTTTAGCCATAAACATGTTACACGTGCCAACCAACTGGGAATATCCATGGGCAAAATCAAGCAAGACTTTCCAAGAGTGGGATTGTGGTTGGAGAACATCACCCAATGGGAGCTAGAAGTTTCCCTCTCCGTCATTTAAATTCTGATGGAATCATTTTTCAAATTTGAGGTGAGTGAGGTGGGATGTAGTGGGCTGCATGGAGGGACAAGCTACATTGTCCTGGGAAGATAGAAAAGGAGCTAGGAGGTCGGTTACTCCTGTTTTCATTGAATTCATGAGAGACTAACCTCTTCATTTCCTCCTTTTCCTCCCAGAATCCCATTTTCCCTCCTTGAATTCCAGCAGCCTAATTTACCACCCATCAACTCTCTGCATCAGCTCTCCACTTCCATTCTAGAAATAAATCTGCAGAAAGCTTTAATATTCTGATAATTTATCATTATTTTAACGTTCAAACAAATGTTTTTAAATATCTCAGTTCAGTTTGGTTAGGCCTCTTAACAGTCCTATCTCTCTTTATATCATAAAGCTCTATGATTTCACCTATAACTGTAAAACTGACTCTTTAACCTGTCTTATAGAAATGAACTCTGTAGATCTCTCACCAAATCATTTTTTAAAACTTAGAGAAAGCCCTGAAAAAAGCACTACCTATTCTTCTTCTTCATCTTTTCTGCTATTGTGACTTAGCATTTTATACAAAGACCAAGATTAGGCTTCTGTTGGCCCACATAGCTAACTGTCAGAGTTAAAATGGGGATGTATAACTGTTCTCGCTGCAGGAAGCTGCAAATTGCTCAAAATATAGTGGAGCGCATCTAGGGCAATAATATGTTCAGATAAACCTAATCCTACTCACCTAATCTACTTTGTAGATTCCTATCTACAAAACTGGAGCATGTTTTAAAGACATGGTTAACTTTTGCTGAAAATCATTGTTCTGGTAGTTTGGCCCTCATCTGAGAATCCAAAGAATCAGATTCATGAAGCATTTCTTTCTACTCTTAGAAACAGCTAACCGTTAGAAAACCATCACTAGATCCTTATAAACAGTGAGGACAATGCAAATAACATTACACCATGAGCAAGTGGCTTTGGTGCTGTGTCTAGACATTTGAACCTCAATTTCTAAATGATACTGTGGAACACCTTGATTTCTTTTGATTATGATAAAGAAGATTTTACACTGACTGGAAAAGCAGGCCAGTGGGCTCAAAGCATAAAGCTGTTCACCTATAGAAGACTGAAGCAAATGCCATTTTGAAATGTCAACCAGGTCAAGAATATGCCAAAAAGAAGTGAAAAGATTGACCCAGGGGCAAAAATTGTGGGAAGTTCATATAAGCTTTTATATATTAACATTTTCAGTGAAGAACTTTTCATAAGTCTGTAAAGAACCTCTCAGAAAGAGTCGTAAATACATAGTTAATTATAGTTATATATATAATTTTATAGCTATCATAATATAACTATCATTACATAATTAAAATTAATGTAAGGTACCCATATATCTCAGCTTGCTTGAGACAATCCAACTATAATTATTTGGGCAATAAATTCTATGATTTCCCTGCTGAAAGGAAGTTGCAGAATTCATTCTTTTGCTTATTAAGCCCTGACTACATACTGGATTTGGCACTAAGTATTGGGAATGTAAAGATAAATGGAATCAAAATGGCTCACATTTTTATGGAGGAGAGAAACAGAAAGAGAGAAATTAAGATGCATTGGGGTATTATGAAAAAAATACTTTAAAATTATAGACGATGAGGTTGTTACAAGAACCCAGCCATTTGTTCTCCTTTGAGGTGTCACAGAGGAGGTTGGAGGGGAGCTTGGGCTAAGTCAACACCCCTAAGTTTGCAACCTTTTGCCCTGCCGACCATCAGGAAATAATTCCAGCCACAAAGGGGAAGTGCACGAGGTCCTAAGGCATGTGATGGAAGTGAGTACAGTTCAGAGCACCACCGGGAACAGCCTAGAAACAAGTAAAGCCCAGGAGCAGCAAGGTACCAATCCCACGTCGACACTAGTAGAGTCAGGACCGTCCATGTTTGCTGTCTCTATCTTAAATTTCACTCATGTGTCAATGTCACCAGAAAGACTAAACATTGGACTTGTTGTCAGTTTTGTTTTGTCTGTTTTGTTTGCATTCTTTCAGCCAACCTAACAATAACCTCGGACCCAATTTCTGTTTCTGAGGGACAAAGCTTTTCTATAAAATGCAGCAGTGATGTGAGTAACTATGATGAGGTATATTGGAACACTTCTGCTGGAATTAAAATACATCAAAGATTTTATACCATGAGGACATATCCTGGTGGGGCAGAGTCAGTACTAATGGTGAACACCGCAACCCGGGAATGGAATGGTGAGTGAAAAATCAGACACTGTATGGTGCAGCCTGTGCCCTTGGAAATGTGAAGCAGCCTTCCGTACCCTTGCCTGCCCTGGGACACGTCTACACTGCCTACTTTACATTAAATACATCTTCACACTTGATACTATAGTTCTTTGAGGGAAGATGTTATTAATCCATTTTAAAGATGTGGAAAATGAAGCCGAGAAAAAAGAATACAGGCCTAAGTTTATACAACTTAAGTTACAAGATTGAAGCTAGTGTCTCTGATTCCAGTATCTGGGCTCTTTCCATTGTGCTAATAAGATTGTTTTGAAAGTACTTTTACTAAACTCTTGAGAGTATTTTGCCTAAATGTGCTAATAAAAAAAATCTAGGTAATATTTTATGTCCAGCTCCAAAGAAAGAAGCATTTTTATTATATTTCCTGTTTACCTCTACACATTGTTCGTGTTAGGAGAAACATGAGTCTTTGAAAGCAAAAAAGATTTGATAGAACTGCTTCAGTAATAGCTAACATCCATTGAGCCTTTCTGTTGTGCTAAGAATTTAAAGGTATTAATTCATTAAAAAATCCCCACTTGACAGATGGTGAAACTGAGGTCCACTGAACCTAAGTAAAATACCCAGGGTTATCCATCCAGTAAATGACAGAGCCAAGATATAAACTCAGTTTGTCTGGCTCTGCTTGCCAACTCTTAACCAATCTTCTTTTCTGAAGTTTTTCAGAAACTTTTCTGAGTTTACAGAAGTTCAATTGGTCCAAACACTGTAAATCTCATGTATTCTTTCTTTATTTTTTGTACAAGGCTAGACAACACTGCTGTGTCTAGTCATTTGGGGACTGGACCTGGTACTTACAATCAGGGAATGATTGTATCTTTCTCCCATGCTGATGTCAACCTACTCTGTCCAATTGCGATTTCCTACTCTTGGGCAATAATTACAGCCTTTCTAGTCATATCAAACTACTTAACCTCATACCTAGGTTCATAGATGCTTACTCTGATCTAAATATAGTAAGACTTTCATTTTGTATTTAATTTAAATTTCCCCTTTTTCTCAACAACAATAGAAAGGGGTTTCTTTTCTCTCCTTGCTCTTCTTTTACCTCTGACAGTGCTGCTTCCAGAGCCTTCACAATGGGGGCAAAGAGAAGGGATGTAAGCAATATGGAAGGTTTTTACTTAACTGTAGGTATCTTGTAATCTCCCTATGCTGTCTCCATGCAGCTGTTCATATGATGGGTTGTCCTAAAACCTGAGGGAATCTGTTCATTTAGGGATGGTGAAGGGGGTATTGTAAAACCACAGTGGTCCATCAGGTCAACAGTACTTCAAAAAGCTTCTTACCCCACACACACTGAAATCCTTATTTATTCACTGAGTTGGTGAAACAGCCTTGGAGTAGAAATTGGGAAGTTGGTTTAAAATCCGATTCCACCCCTAACCTTGGATAAACCACTTTCTTTTATCTGAAAGTCAGTGCATAACTAAGGGGTCATTGGTTAATCCTTCAACTCCATGGAGAACCCAGGAAGTAAGTTGATCAAGCATTTGCTTCTCCAGAGTCCAAGAAGGTGTGGTGTTTGAAAGGGAAAACTAGCCCTCTTCTAAACCTTTATAGCAACTGCCAATTATTTCACTCCATCTCATTTTTTGCTTCCTTCCACTTAGGAACCTATCACTGTGTATTTAGATACAAGAATTCGTACAGTGTCGCCACCAAAGACGTCACCATTCACCCGCTGCCTCTAGAGTCAAACATCATGATTGATCCTCTGGAAGCTAGTGGTTTATGTACAGATTCCCATAGCTTCAAGTGCTGCATAGAAGACGGTGGAGACTACACAGTAACTTTCCAAGTGGATTCCTCATCCTTTTCTGCTGGTAAGACACAGACGGCTAAATTGCCAAGTTATGTTATTTCATATATGTGGAATCTAAAATAGTCTTTTAAAACAAGAACCAAGAAACACAGAGTCTGTATCAAATAAAATGTAACACAGCAGAACCCTGTGAGCCTTTGTTGCCTTCTATTTTGCTATAGTTTGAGGTAAAATCTATAGAGTCTGTGAGGTGGAGCCCATTCATTTCAGTGGGAACTGTTAAAGACAATATTAAGATACCTTTCTAGGATTTCTACTTCTTTAACATGACAGGCCAAATATTCTGATAATCCCTCCTTCTGTGCTAAAAAATAACTTGTTATAAATTGACACAATAGTTTTAAGTATATAATTGGGCATGCAAGAAAGTCAGAGAAATAGCCATGTGCCAAAAACACAGGAGAGAAAAAAATAGAAATAATACTTTAGCTAATGCTGGGGCATCCATAGAAACATTTACCAATATCAGAAACCCAGAACCTTGGATTTAAGGCACCTACACAGTAACTGAGGCACCCCCACCCCACCTGCACAATATCAGGAACTTCAAAGAGCAACATGCTCAGTAAAAGGATAGGCCAGAAAAACAAAGTCCATCTGCCAGAGCTTAAAGTTTGGCTTCATCTCTGGATGGCAACAATTTTCCCTTGAGAATGATAATTGTCCTGTTTTCACCAAGCTTTGGGTTTTGAACTTGTTCTGTGTAGGTAGTTTATGAACTCCAAGCTGAAGAGCGATAAGGTTAGAGCAGTCCATTGGTTGGTATGCTTTGTCATTTGGGAAAAAAAATCAAATTCCCACTGGTAAACTGTATCCTTGATACAGATCCCTCAGAATTCCAGAGATTAAGATCAACCAAACATGAGCTCACATCCTCAAATCTCAAAACACAGATGCCTTCACAAGCTCATTAATTCTTTCAGCAATTATCTTTGGGGATTTTCTTAGTGCAAGATAGCATGATAAGCAATGAAAGGGAAACAAAAGAATTTAGGTACATATTTTAATATCTAGAAAGGTCCATGTCATAAAAGGCAATGCATGTAATGTTTATTAAATATCCCAAAGGAGTAAGGTAGACTGAAGGAACAATGGATGTTTAGAAAAGCAGTAGTCCAATAAAGTTTAGAGAAGATTGCGAGGTAGTAGGATAGGAAATCACTCTGCATATTGAAATATGCAAACATTTCAACATTCTGTGGTCAACATAGATACAGCCAGTACTTTTTATGTGCTAGATACTGAGTTGAGCACTGGGAGATGCAAACAGAAATAAGACCAGGAGTTTTCTCTACAGGAACTTATCTGCTACTGGAAAAGAAAGACCTATACAGAGGTGGTTAAAACCAATATGGTGAAGGCAGGGTGGAATGAATGCACAGACATGATGAGCTTTAGCTAGGTAGAAGAACGAGAGGAATGCTGAAAAGGCATTCTGATTGTCACAAACTCGTGAACAGATTTGGACTCACAAATGGTGGAGGTGAAGTTTTGACTAACACACATGCAAATATGGGCTTGCTTGCTTCTAAGAGTCAGAGATTATTTTCACATAAGTATGTGAAACCACATTAAAAACTGATGTGGTGCATTCCTGGGAAAAGCTTGGACAGGTTATTCATATTGGGTCATCTTGACAGATCATGTGTTGTGGGCACTCATGTTGTTAGTAATTCTTTCCCTCAATAACTCTATCTTTAGAAAAAGAAATTACTGGAAAGCAAGTGTGCTACAAATACAATTTCCCAGCAAACTCAGTTCCCTGGTGTCCAAAAAATGTTGATGTGTTTTGTCATTTTACTAATGCGGCTAAAAACTCAGTCCGGAGCCCACTGATGAAGCTTACTCTGGTTCCTGGTAAGTGCATTTTAAATTACTTTAAATGTTATACTCAGGAGCAGGGACTCATTTATTCATTCAACAAATACATGTACATTCAATAAATATGTATTAAACACCTTCACTGTGTCAGGCCTTGAGCTAACCATGGGGGATTTGAAAAGAAATAAGCCTCTGATGCTGTGGAAAGTGCAAAAACAGGTGTCCAGAAGGGCTGCCTAGATTAGGTCTGCTGCTTGTAGGTGAGAAATAGTGAGGAGGGAAAGTCTTGGAGATGAAATCATACTTCAGTCCATCCTGGGAGGCTGAGAAGTTCACCACACAGGTATCAGTTGGCAGTATAAGTATGCACTTGGAATTCCTTTGAGTTTAAGGGGTGTGTCATCACCAGCACTTTTTTTCTTGAGATGAATTACATGAAAGGAGTTGATTTAAATAATAAACTCCCCATCCTTTATGATTCTGAAGCCATACGCCCATGTATAATATCTTCCAAATGAAAGTTCATGATTTGTGGAATAATTTCTAAAACAGCCCATGTTGAAGAGTTCTCCTCAGTCAGGCAAATCTCTTGCCACGTCTCCATCACCAGCTAAATCCTCCCATTAACAGGAATCTGATATATGAAGGATGCATTGCTCTAGCCCTAAACTTGTTTGAATTTACTGAATGATTTGTGCTCATTCTCTCATGTGTCGTTAACTAACCTTGGATACCAAAGCAGGAAGCAGTTTAGAGTCCCCTCTCTCTCTGAGTCATTGTTACCTAACCCTGCCAACACAGCCCCTCCAGAGAGCAGCACAGGCCACTTCTTCTTCATTGTCTCCCCATCTTAGCCAGCAGGCTTTATTCACTTACCTTTGTTCTCCTCTTTCTTCACACCAAATCTGGTTCCTCTTCTTTTTTCCAACATTTCAATATTTTATACAGTGGTTGAGATATCAATGTTAATTAGCTAAATAAAAATGTTGATAAGGAGAGGTCTGCTCAGGATCCCCTAGAGGTCAGAGATTTTGCAACAAATGTCATTTTCCCACACTTGTCAGCCTGTGAATGGAGATGAAATAGTCACCATTAAGGGAAACCAGAAGGAACAAATGCTTTAACATATTTCTTACAATATTCAGGTCCTGGATGTCTGGAAATCCTATGACTAATTATTTGTATTAAAGCAGCAGTGCTTCTCAACCTTGGCTGCACATTGGGACCGCCAGGGAAGCTTAAAATACTGCTGACGCTGGAGTATCAGCCTAAAAATTCTGATGTACTTGGAGTGAGGTGGGCCTGGGCACTGGCATTTTCCAAAGTTCCCCAAATGGCTCCCACATGCTAATCCCTTTATGTAAGACCTTATGCCCTTAAAATTCCTGGCCAGTAGAATCTCTCCCATTTGCATAAGCACACCTTAAGCTCTCACCATTTTCCATGGCTTAGTTTTTCCTCATGGCAAAGAGAAAATTCCTGGAGATGGAGATGAAATGAAGCACAGAAGAAATAAAGTCTGTTAGGAAAAGCAAGTGCAGGTTACAGAAGGCAGTGTTGGGAAATCAGGAACAAAATTAAGAAATCTGAGTAACTCTGAAAAGGCCACAGAAAAGAAAGAGAAATATGAATCCAAACATCATAATCTTTTCCAACTTGACCCTTATTTCCATCATCGTTTCTCTTTTCAATTGTCCCGTTTTTTTTTTTCCTGTGTTTCCAATACAGGAGAGAACATCACATGCCGAGATCCTGTAATAGGTGTTGGGGAGCCTGGGAAAATCATCCAGAAGCTATGCCAGTTCTCAAATCTTTCCAGAACTCCTGGAATACCATTGGTGGGATTGCCACCTACAAATGTGTAGGCTCCCAGTGGAAGGAGGAGAGAAAAGGATGCATCTCTGCTCCAATAAATGGTCTGCTTCAGCTGGCCAGGGTGAGCCTTAAACCTCTGACTCTGAGTTCTTGACGGGGAGTTTTGTCTGGCTTATCAGGTTTCTTTACACTTAGGAAAATGGGCTTTTGAATACTTGTATTGTTCCAAAACTAGTTATGTCTATTTCCAAAGAATATGCAATCTTAACAATGCTTAAATTAAAATATGATGGACAGCATTGAAGTCTGTGTTCTGCTCTAGGACCAGCTGGATCCCTTAAGCTTGACTTCTCATATCCTTGTGTCCAATACCAAGAAGGGACAGTATATCAGAATCTCTTAATGATTTGCTTTCAATAGTTTTGATATTAAATATCTGCAATACTTTTGGAAAGAAGACTAATATAAAAATAAGATTCAATGAAAAATAATTGGGCTCTATGCTTTTACAGGTCTGGATTTCCTCAATCCTTAGAGGTAATCTGTACTACTGAAGAAGAGATTACCCTGTCTGTCTTTATCTAAATTAGAGGTTATTATTACCTGGGGTGGGGGAGGCAGGGAGGGATTCCTTTCTTTTTATCAAAATAAATAAATATCATCTCCATATTTAATTTGTTGTAAGTTAGAGACTTCTAAAAACCCATGAGCTACAATTAAAAAATATCTGAAATACAATTAGTAGGGCTATAGTGAATGGTGGTATCTTTAGACAATCAGTTTCGAATCTGCTTGCCACTGGAAAAAGGAAGAACTTAGAAAAGGGGGGAAATGTACATTTGTGTTTTATCAAATTATCTTCAGTCTCTCCCCTGTCTCACACCAAATTCATTAAAATACATACTATGTTCAAAGCATTACTAGAGATGCTCTCAAGGTAAAGAGATCAAATCATAACTTGCCTCTGATTTTGATAATGGATGCAATCCATTTAGGTAAATATATGTACATTAATTTTCACTGAGATAAATGAAGAAGTTCTATTTGGAAAACTTAGCATTTGTATTGGCTCTAGATGGATGAAGCATGAGGGACATAAATTATCCCAATCACGAAAGGTAGAGGGCTGGGGTGTAGTTCAACGTAAAACACTTGCCTAGCACATGTGAGGTACTAGGTTCCATACCTAGCACTACAAGAAAACAAAAAAGAAAGAAAGATAGATAGTTACAAAATAAAATTTGGTCTCAATGCTCATTCTAGTCACAACTCTGGATATATTTTTTCTTTCTCTTTCTTTTTTGAGACAGGGTCTTATATGTTTATGAGACAAAGTCTTCGAACTCACCATGTCTCCCAGTCTGGCCTTGAACTCAAGATCGTCCTGCCTCACCTTCTGGAGTGCAAGGATTGCAGGTGTGAACCACCACACCTGGCTGTAGATACATTTTTAAAGGGTCATTCTGGTCTACCCTGCTTCATTTGATATATGCATACAGTGCTATATTTGTTGAACTATATGCAAAGTTATGTGGCTTGTACTATGATAGGCTTTATGTAATATGATAGGAATATAAAGAAATAAAACAAGTAGATCACATTATTTAGGAGCTTATGGTTCAACTGGAGAGGTACTAAAATTAAAGCACAAAAGTTGGGCACTGGTGGCTCATGTCTATAATCCTAGCTTCTTGGGAGGCTGAGATCTTGAGGATAGCAGTTTAAGGCCAGCCTGGGAAAATAGTTTGTGAAACAAAAATAACTAAATATGACTAGAACAAAATAACTAAAAGTAGCTAGAGCAAAATGGACTGAGGTATAGCTCAAGTGGTAGAGTGCCTGCCGTGCAAGTACAAAGCCCTGAATGCAAACCCCAGTCCTACACAAACACACACACACACACACACACACAAGATAACTTTAGTAGAGATGTCACAGGTATAAAATACGTTAAATACTCATGCATCAAGAGAAGGAAATATCATTGAAGGTATCCTATGAAAGGCAGATTTTTGAGCTCATTCTTTAATTGTAAACAGAAGTTAGAGAATTAGAAAACAGCTGCGTGATGATTATAGGTGATGCTCTGTCATCCAAATCAGGACACTTTTTGAGAATACAAGAGGACACTCTTAATAATGATACTGAGAGAACAGATAGAAACCAGATCTGTCCCCAGACAGTTGCCTCAGTGATCAGCTGCATAAGTGACATGATTAAAAGCAAAGAGGCAATGTGCTTCCATGCAGACTATTCAAGTGACAATCTTGCTCCACTTTAATCTAGTTCTCTAACAATCATGCATATATTTTATATTTACCTTTCTATGTGTGAGGCCTTATGTCTTATTCTGTTCTGGAGAGCACACACAGATAGTTTAAAAAGTAAATACTTATTTTATGGGCTATTCTGGTGCATATGGGCATGGAGCAAGAAGGGAACCACAGCTGTGGAAGATTTTGCCATGCAGGGTACATTGGCTTGACTGATTAACAAGCTTTTTCATTTGTTTTGGCTTTTCTCTTACTAGGCTTTGGTCAGGAGCCCCTCTCAGGACCAGAAGCTCCCTACATACTTGAAGGATCTTTCTATTCGCACAGGCAAGGAAGAACAGGACATTCGCTCATCTCCTGGGAGCCTGGGAGCAATCATTAACATCCTTGACTTGGTCTCAACCGTTCCAACTCAAGTGAATTCAGAAATGATGACAGTAAGTATGCTTAAGCCTTGCAGCAATTCTGGGTCTTACCTTCTCACCCTTAGGATTTGTTTTCAAGCACAATTTCTCTTCATTGCAGCTTCTTCTGTGTCTTTTCCAGAGCAATGAGCTGGATGTTAGAATCACGCAATATTCTCTTCTAGCTATGGCTTTTATGGTATCAGAGTGTTTCCAGTATCCATTTCAGGACTTGACAAGATTTCTTTAGTGAATTTCTTCTTTAGTTTCTTTGTGTAAATAGAATGAATCCCTACTTGTTCCCCAGGAAAACGAACAATTAAGTGTTTTCAGAGTACGTACAAAATCAGATTCTCAAAGGTCTAGCTTGAACTTTGAAGTAATCAGAGTTCTTGGAGGAAAAATAATTCATTCAAAAGAGTTCAAATGATAAGACTTTCATTAAGGGAGACTTCGAAAGGTAAAGCCAGAGTAAAAATAAATAATAAATAAATAAAACACAAGGGTGATGGGGTAGCCAGAGATATCAGCAAGATTTATAAGCCATTATCACACCTTAGGGAAAAGATTTGAGCTAGTGCAACTGGAATCCAGTGAGTGCTGAAGTCTTGGAGGACGGACCTCTCGGCAGAAGCTATAGTCTTGGAAGGCCACAGTTGTTACCAGAGATATGCTGGAGATAACAGAGAAAATATATCTCACTATCTCTCTCCTCTGTTCCTATTACCTACCTCCCAGTGGCCAAACCCAACAAGAGGCCAACTGGCAAGGAGTTTGATAGCAAAGTCCAACAAAGTTCTATGTTTCCCAGAGCTGCTATAACAAATAACGACAAGGTAGCTTGTGACAGAAATTCATTTGTCACAGTTCTGGACATTAGAAGTCTGAATTCAACATGTCTGCAGAGTCAGGTTCTGGGTTGGACTTTTCCTCTAAAGTCTTCAGAGGAGAATCTTTCCTTGCCTCTTTCAGCTTTGGCTCATGCCTGTGTTACTCCCATCTCTAATTCCGTCTTCACAAGGGCTCCTCTTCTGCATTTATCTTCTCTTCTGTCTCTTATGAAAATACTTGACATTGGAGTTGGACCTACCCAGGTAATGCACGATGGAACCTTAACTCAGTTACCTCTACAAAGACTATTTGGTCAAATAAAGTCGCATTCATAGCATTTAGGTATTAGGATATGTCATTTTGGAGGCCACAATTCAACCTGGTGTTGGGGCTCATACTTTCAGAGGTCAGATAAGGCAAAGATATATACAGAAATTATTTGGGGGCAGGGTATGAATGAAAACCAACAGGCCCAAGTTTATAAGATTAAGGATCAAATTGTTTAGCAGAAAATGAAGCTCCCTTTGATAACACATAATTCATTAATGCTCGGGGTTTGAGAAGTTCTTTTAAGACTTTTTCACACTTGCTGGTGATATGCCTTCCACCAAAAAGCCTTCACAGGCTTGAAATTTAAAATAAACATCCGTGCCAGCAAGCTGAATTAACCTTAGTAACTGGTGGGAGGGTGGTTCTCACAGTCACTGTTATTAAATGTCTAGCCATGTGTTGTAGCCTTGGCCCCTCCTCTGCTAACCTCTGCCCATTTTTCCTTAAGTATCACTACCCAATCTGTTTCCAGGGAGATGTTCTTCTTATCTTTTTTATGTTTGAAGGAATTTTTGTTGGTTTGATCTTATGCCCTGTCAATTACAGGATGTGCTTTCCACTGTCAATGTCATCCTGGACAAGTCCATCTTAAACTCCTGGGAAAAGTTACAACAGCAACAGACTCAACAGAGCTCACAGCTACTGCGTTCAGTGGAAAGATTTTCCCAAGCACTATGGTTGGGAGATAGCACCCCTGTGTTCCTCTCCCACCCTAATGTGCAAATGAAGAGCATGGTAATAAAATCCAGCCACCCTAAAACCTACCAACAAAAGTTTGTTTTCACACACTCTGACCTCTGGGGCCATGTGACCATTGATGAGTGCCAGCTGGGAAACTTGCAGCCAGATTCGTCTGTAGTCACTGTGGCATTCCCAACTCTCAAAGCCATCCTTGCCCAGGACAGTCAGAAAAAGACTTTCGCAAACAGCTTGGTGATGACAACCACTGTCAGTCACAATATAAGCAAGCCATTCAGGATTTCCATGACTTTTAAGAACAACCACCATTCAGGCGGGAAACCACAGTGTGTCTTCTGGAATTTCAGCCTTGGCAACTCTACAGGGGGGTGGGACACCAATGGGTGCTATGTGAAAGAAGTCAATGGGGACAGTGTATCCTGCTACTGTGACCACCTCACATCATTCTCCATCCTTATGTCCCCTGACTCCCCAGATCCCGATTCTATCATGAAAATACTACTGGATATCATTTCTTACATTGGGTTGGGCTTTTCCATCTTGAGCTTAGCAGCCTGTCTGGTGGTAGAAGCTGTGGTATGGAAATCAGTCACCAAGAACCGGACTTCCTACATGCGCCATATTTGCATAGTAAACATTGCAGCTTCCCTTCTGGTTGCTGATATCTGGTTCATTGTGGCCGCTGCTGTCCATGACTATTACTATCCTCTCAATGAAACAGCCTGTGTGGCTGCCACCTTCTTCATCCACTTCTTCTACCTTAGCGTCTTCTTCTGGATGCTGACACTGGGCCTCATGCTCTTCTACCGCCTAATTTTCATTCTGCATGATGCAAGCAAGTCCATTCAGAAGGCCATTGCCTTTTCTCTAGGCTATGGCTGCCCCCTGGTCATCTCGGTCATCACAGTGGGGGCTACCCAGCCAAAGGAAGTCTATATGAGGAAGAATGCCTGCTGGCTCAACTGGGAGGACACCAAGGCTCTGCTGGCCTTTGTTATCCCAGCACTGATCATTGTGGTTGTGAATGTTACCATCACGGTTGTCGTCATCACCAAGATCCTGAGGCCTTCCATTGGAGACAAGCCAAGCAAGCAGGAGAAGAGTAGCCTGTTTCAGATCAGCAAGAGCATCGGGGTCCTCACGCCACTCTTAGGTCTCACTTGGGGTTTTGGTCTTGCCACCGTGTTCCAGGGGAGCAATGCTGTGTTCCATATAATATTTACCCTCCTCAATGCCTTCCAGGTAAGCTCTGCAGTTCAGGGCTCTTAGGAAATTTCTACCCCCATAGAACAAACTGATGATAGAAACACAAACAAGAGTGGGAATGGGGAAGAATCTTAGTGCAGAGGAAGCCTTAGCCCTAATGAGCAATAATTATAAGATTATTGAGATGGAGAAGACACATTCCTCTGCTCCCATGGATGCTCCAATCTTTTATCACCTGCATTACAACTTAGTTCCAAATGCCCTAATATAACTAGGAAGAAAGTCACTTCCCTAAACTATATTTTGTTATTTATCTAAGATAATCTTGATGTAATCTATCATATCCTAAGTGAAAAATATCACTACCAAAAATATCACTACCAAATAAGGTCTCAGTCAGTCTCCCTGAGCCCTGTCCTTGTGAGTATACCTTTCTTGTTCATCACTGTATCCACAATGCCTAATAAAGACCCTGACCCAGGAGAACCATTTGAAGGAAATGAATGGAGTACTTCTTTTACTGAAGAATTAATGAACAAATGCCCTATGAATGCCAGACAATGCTTGATTATATTAAAATGAAGACCTGTCTTTGCTCGCTTTGCTCTTTATAATGCAGGCCATTTTGTTAGAAGACCCATAAGCAGAGGTATAGACAAAAGGCCTTTGACCTTTTTCAGGCCTTTTCACCTGATGGAGAGGTGGTAAGGATAGGTAAAAACCTACCCAAGGTATACAGGCTCTTGTGAGCTGGCAAAGAGGTCTGGAAGTAAAGCGTCTGGAGATTTTGCTTCCTGGATGCTTGTGACTGACCATATAAACCCTAACTTCTGCTACTGGGTCTGTGACTCTGACCTACAAGGTTCTTATCTAATGAACTTCAAGATATGTCTCCATTTGAAGGAACCAATTATTAGACTCCAGCCCCCAGATTATCACCACAACCTACAGGAATGAAAGAGAAATCATGTGAGGCATATTAATTGTATGATCTGTAGGACATGCTGTTTTAATTACAGGGAAATAGAGTATATTCTCCACAACATTTAGGCCTCCTTACTGTGAACCTACTACATCCCTTTTAACATTATCATGTGCTGGACTCATTCCATAAACTCAAATGGGGAAAGAGATCCCACAATACCAAGTCAGTACTGGTTCCAACACCAGGTTAATAGTACTTCCTAGTCCATTGGTTATTAAAGAATTAACATATACCTCTTCTCAATCCTTCTCACAGGGATTATTCATTTTGCTTTTTGGATGCCTCTGGGATCAGAAGGTAAGAACAATGATAATTTTATGATCCTGGAAAAGTTCACAGTACCTATGGCATGCTGAACTTATGCACTGTTGAATTTACGTTGGCTTCTTTTAAACAATGCAGGTACAGGAGGCTTTGTTGAATAAGTTTTCATTGTCAAGATGGTCTTCTCAGCATTCAAAGGTAAACCTTGTGCCTGAGGAGACATTCTGTTTACGTATGTTCATGTAGTCCACTAATATAAAGATCTGGAGTATATTAAATTTTTACCTTGGGATTGTGATCAGTGGGGTTAAATAGAAACCTTCCTACCTCCATACTACTTTTGGCATGGATTAATTGTTCTTCTTGCCTCATTCTGCCTATTAAACACATCCATGGAGCTATCATGTATATCGTGTGCCACGTCTTTAAGTAGATATTCCAATGACAGATAAGATAAACTTAAGGTTAAAATCAAACTCTCAGTGAGAAAGTCTTCCGGGGGATATTTAAGGCATCAGAGAAAATAATTTGAGGAAAATAATAAATAGCATTTTCTATAGTTCATTTTGGGACATAACTATTGTCCTTGAATATGTTTGACTACCTTTCACATGTCTGAAGACTCTAGAAGAACCTACCAGACAGAAAAACATATATTTGAGCTGGAGATGTAGCTCAATGGTAGAACACGGTAATAGAAGGGGCAAGGCCCTGAGTTTGCTCTCCAGTGCCAAAAAAAAAGGGAGGAAGAAGGAAGTGCGGAAGTGATGGAGGGAGGAAGAAAGGAAGGAAAAGAAGGAAAGGAGAGAGAACCCATATATATGAAAGTTATTTTTCTATTACAGATGATAAGAGTCCAGTATCTTGATGTGATCTAAGGGGATGGGATTAGAAATGCAGAAAAGTCACCACTGGAGGGCAGCAAACCCATTTTCCAAAATACCAAAACAGCCCTTGTCTCATGGATTTGATTTGTGATTGTCTTTTTTTTTCTTCTCTCTCTCTCTCTCTCTCTCTATCTCTATCTCTTTCTTCTAGTCAACATCCCTAGGTTCATCTACACCTGTGTTTTCTATGAGTTCTCCAATATCAAGAAGATTTAACAATCTCTTTGGTAAAACAGGTAGGTAGTGACATACGGGTATTCCTTGGTTGGCTACAACAACAGGGACCTGGATGCCCCCATTCTTCCACCCCCACTTCATGGCACTTACCTGAAATAGCTTCTGCTTACAAGAGGTTAAATGTAGGAACTAGCAAGTTTTGTTTTTTAAATCACTAGGAGGATGCCCCAGAGGACAACTGTTCTAAATGGGCAACTCATGAAGAGTTAAGTTTCAGAGGGTTTGAAATGTAAATTGTAATTGGCCTTGACAAACAAACCTGAATTTTTCCTATTATGTTAAGTAGGAGTGGATAGATCATGTTTGTGTGTTATGGTACAGCTAAAAGTATACTCGAAAATTCTACTGTAGGATTCTTTGTATTCACTTTCGTTTTGATGGAGCATGCATGTTTTATACACTGAGTTTATAAAACTGTGTATCCATACACAGGGAATCACCCAAGTTAGCTATTCTATGAGAAATACTAATAGTCAAAGTTTCCACCTAGTAAATGTTTAATAAACCGTATTAATGACTTTGGCAATGGGTCTCTGCTATTCTGGTAAATTGAAATCCCTGCCCCATGCCACGACCCCCACAGAAAATAAGCACCAGAATTCTTTGCAGCTTTTTTTTTCTCTTCTACAGTGCTGATGATGGAACCCAGGGCCTGGAGCATGCTGGGAAAGTGCTCTACCACTGAGCTACATCCCCAGCCAGCTTTTTGAAACTGAATAGATCTCACAAATGCAAAGTTAAGAAATGTGTCAGTATTATTTTGAGAATACCTATCATCATTAAAACTCCAGGGAACTTAGTGAGTTCTGCTTCAATTTAATGAATTACTCATGAAACGGGAGGATCTTCACTTTTGATTTGGAAATTCATTGATTTGATTTGTTGTGAAATGGTCAAATCTTTAGGGTGATTAAGAACTATTGGATTTGCCAGTATTTATCATTTGCATTGCTGTGAAAATGATGAAAACTGCTAACTAATTCCACAGAATCAGAATTATGCACTATGTAAGGCCAATAAAATATGTTCCTTGTTTCTGAATCAATTAGATAAAAGTTGAGAAATGGACTCTGTTACTGGTCATTACCACTGGATAATCTCTCGGGGTCATGAGTGTAGCTCCACTTTTGCCTGTTTGTGGGGTCCATAATCATTATCACTTTTGGTTTATATTGTTAGCAGCCCCCAAGGTCCTGCCAGACAATGACAGAAACCCTATTAGCAGTGGCAGTTCAACAGTCTGATGGTAGGGTAGACACTTCAACCCTTCCTTTGCCCAACACACAATCCCTACTCTCTCCCTATGCACAGTCCCCCCACCATCTGCCCACGCAGAGCCGTGCAGTTGCTCCAAGGCTACCTGCCCTGCTTCACTGGTCCTCAGGACTTCTGTTGGTATCCCTGACTTCTGCTTCTTTCTGCTCCTGGCTCTTCTTCCTCCATAAATTTCTCTTTTCTTTCCTTTTTGCCTCTTTATAAACCTTCTCCTTCAGCTCAGCCCCCAGGTTTCTCCCAGGAACTTCCCCTAGTCACTGTAACCATGGGGACCAGGCAGGCTCCTGCATGCAGATGTCCCCAGACCCAAGCATGTGGTGGCATGTGGTGATCTGTGGAGAGGCTTCCCACATTGAGATCTTCTTGCCCTTTGTGGAAATCTGCTGCTGGTGTGATTCCAAGTAGTTAGTGCTTGTTGGCTGTCCTATGCATGCTTGAGAACAACAGCACTTCTGTCATTTGTTCTCTGGCACTTTCGGGTTCGGGAGGAGGGCGGGCATGGGTTGGTTTCCAGGCATGGAAGGCTTAGCTGACTCCTGAGCCAGAGCCCCCACCTGGGTCCATTAGCAGATGTTCACACCCTGAAGTCCGTAAGGGCTTGTCTCTGAGACTGAGGTGTTGCTCTGTTTTCCAGGAACATACAATGTTTCCACACCAGAAACAACAAGCTCATCCCTGGAAAATTCATCCAGTGCATACTCATTGCTCAACTAAGACCAGAAAAATCCAATCTACATGACCTCTGGGGAAAATGGATGTGCTCTGACAAAGTAAAGCCTCTCTGCAAGCTTCTGGAAACACATGCTGAAGAGACTGTTCCATTAGAGAAGAGGCTTTCTTTTGTAAAGACAGACTAAAAGTAATTGTTTATTTTTGGCTCCCCATGTCTAGCCCTCATGTAATGACAAATGTGTATAGTATTTAAGTGAAACTCAGATCCCTTTAGGCCCAACTTCTTTGTCTATATTGTAAAATAGAATTTTTAAGAGACATTTTTCACTTTTTTCCATTGGTTACAAAGATAAGCTTTGACTAAAATAATATGCAAAAAAGCTAGTACCTAGGAAATACTTGAGTGAATTCTAGGAAGAAAGGAAGGAAGGAAGGAACGAACGAACGAACAAAGGAGAGAGGGAAGGAGGGAGGGAAGAAAGGAGGAAGAGAGGATAAAGCATTAAGGACCACATTTGAAGATGGCGGGTGGTAAAAGTCTAATACTGCAACAGTGAGAATCAAAATCTATGGCTCAAAATGGAAACTGAAAGAGTTTGGGAAATGAGTTTGGTACCTTCCTGATATTTTCCTAGCTAAGAAGGAAAAGAGAAGACAGTGGGGAAATGGTGAGGAAATGACATTATCAAAGGATAATAAGATTTACAAGCAATGCATCCAAGGTAAAGTGATTCCCCTGAGCCTAAGCACAGACACCTTTGTTGTCAACGTCTGAGCAAAATGGAATGAACTTGTGGAGGAAGTGTGGCAGTCACTCTTTATTAGATCCAACTGCTCCTTAATCCTTTTGTAGTTTATCAGAAAAGCCTTATGTTTTTGTTTGTTCCATGCTTTGAAAGCAAAAAAATATATTTTTATATCCAATTATTGACAAATTTGATATATTGCACTGAAAATAGACCCCCAACTGTCATATATGTAACAGCTGTAACCAGGTACTTCTCTGTGCATTATATAATAGGTTTTAATAATCTTATAGTGTTGTACATAATTATTGTTGTTGTTCCTATCATTGTCACTGTTGATACAATGGCCCTTGGTGTGTTGTATAGCTCACTATGTGGTATTTCTTCCAGTCTCTAAGTTCCCAGACCAATATACATTAAGAGTTTTGTATGGTTTAATTTGTTTTCCTTACAACCACTTGGAAATCTTCCAGAGAGAAATTTTGCAGTGGGCTATTGTGTGCTCCTAATACACTTAACCTTGAAGAGTGAATGCCAGAACTTTCCTCAAGGATTAAACTGTTTGTGAATTGTGGTGTGTGTGTGTGTGTGTGTGTGCATTTCATTAAAAAATACAAATATTTATTAGAACTGCATTCATGTTAGAGTTAACCATGTGCTGTAAGTAGAGGAATCACACATTGCAAACCCAAGTCTGACCTCAGAGAGATGAGAATTAAACCATGGGGCCCCTCGAAGTTGATAGGCTGAATGTGCTGGAAGATGGGACAAAATAGGCTGAGATTCAGCAACATCTTATTTACTGAGGTTCAAAAGAGTTTTATTTTAATATTTTAATAATTTGAAATTTCTTTTATTTTTAATTTTAAATTCTACTTTTTCCTCTCTCTTCTTTGTGGAGAAGAAGAGGGATGGGGCAGAGGTGAGCCAGATTCAAGTCCTAATAAGGCTTAAACCCAATGAATGTCATTTTCACAAATGCCATCGCCATCTGTTCCCTTGTTTGCCTGAGAACTACCACATCTCTGTTCCAACTGAATGGTTTATTATTTAAAGTTCCAAAAGGAAATGACTGCTAGTCTATAAATGTAGACTAGTTTCACCAGGGAATGATGAACCTTGGAGCAGAACTCAGAACCGAGAAGATGGAGACAAACATGTTGGGGATCCACTGAACTGGAATTAAATATTGGAGAAAGAGTGACTTGGACTGATTAGGTTCCTGAAGTTAGAGCAAGGAGCATGGAGCCGGGGTTGCTGCCCAGCTAGCAGGGAAATCTGGACACGAGGGAGGCACAGCATCAGGGAGGCTGGGGTTGTCATTTTCAAAAATGCAGGGGAATGAGAAACGCTGAACATGCACCCTTCAGTAGAGATCCCTTGGAAATCATCGTGTTTGACCTGATGAAGGGAACCTCCGCAATAGGAGGAGCCTTTAGTGGAATTCGTAAGATGTGGGTCTGGCCCTCTGCCCACATTGGTTAGCAGAAGCCCGTCCTTCATTCCTTACACACATGCGCACACACACACGCATTCACACACAGTCACACAAACCACAGACACACACACACACATATATGTATGAACGTACACATTCACACTCCAGCACATTGGTGCACGTCTGCATGTGTGTGCACACATATACACTTGCACTCATATACACACACAAGCAAGCATGTACTTCCATCTTTCAAGTTCCAGCATTGGATCCAAATTCTAGAAAAGCTATGAAGACAAAAAACTGAAAAGCACTTGCTGGTATTCTGTCCCTTACAAACTACATAGTTCAACTCTAACCTTTCCAAAGAATATTCTAAAATAAGCAGTAGAACTCAAAATTGTAGAAGAAAGTGTATGAGTCTGTGAACTATATGAAAGCAAGAGTTTTGATGGCCGTAAACTCACGGGTTCCAGTGCAGGTAGGATTACAGGCTGCTGGCTCAGGCTTCTGAGGGAAGGAAGCACCTTGACTGTGATATTGGCACCAAATGAGCCTTGCAGTTACTTTGCTTACACAGTACCCTGTGCTGCGCACACTCCTGACATCTCTCAGTGGGTGGAGTTGATTCTGCAGGCCCAAATATTCTTGCATTAAGGGACTTTCCATTGGGGCATTTTTTGCAAAGAGATCTACACAAATGCTTTGAAGATTGTAAACTTGGAGGATTCATGAAGAATCCATAGCAGTGTTCTCTGGCAATATTGTAAGCACAGCATAACATGTCATCTCTCAAATAAGTCACATGTCTACCATCCTCCTCTTCATTTCTTGTTGCTTCTATCAAGAGAAAGGTAAATAATGCCCCTGGAGTTTTTAGAGTGTCAATTGCTAAAGGCAGAAATGAAGAAATATTGTGGGGAGTTGTTGCCTCCTGTAGTTTATGTAGAAACCTGCAGGAGGTCTCTGCTGGTAGGTTTCAGAAGAAATTTTACTTGGTGATGAGAAAATTATAGCTACCAGAAAGAGCAAATGGGAGGATGCAAGAGTTATGCTGAGGTGAACAGAGCAGAAGTTACAGTCATTTAGGAAGATAAAAGGAAATTGAATGGTCCTAGAAATGCCATGTTGGTGGAAAACCTTTTATTGTGGCATGAGATGGTGATGTCAAATAGTAACTTTCCATCCCAAAGAGAAAGTCAATGAAAGTCTGGTTCCCTGAGTATCCAAAATAAAGCAGGAGCTTAGTGGATATAGCTTTTTCATGTATGTTTTAAAGAAAGTGTCTGTTCAAAAAAGTTGTCAGCATGGAAATTAGATGTCATGGATTTCTGAAATTATGACTTAAAATCATGTCTTAGTTGTATAGCCTATAGCTACATTTCCTTTCCAGGCTTACAACAATAAAGTACCTTACAATGTGTAGGGCTTTCTTTGTATATATTTTCTGTTCTTTTGTCAAATGCTGCTGATGCTGTGTCAGGCTTCCCCACATCCACCAGAATTTAACCCCATTTTTCAAACAGTGAATAATCCTTCCATTTTCCAGACATGGTAATGCCAGAAGCTCTCAGCTGAGCCCAGGGCCAGCAGAACTGATAGCTTTCCTTACATGTTCCACACTCCAAACAGCATGTGGTGATCCAGCAACTTACACTGGGCCTACACAGGGCTCCTTGAAGTAAAGCTTTCAGGACCCAATTGTTTGGAAATGAACAGATGTCTGTTCCAATGTTTGTGTGTGGTTTGGTGGGAATTCTCCTTGACTGCTGGATATACAGTCCCATATCCCATGTAGATGAACACCATCTAGTGCATTGTAGGGGAATACAGGGGGACCTGGAAACTGGTGGTCCCGAATGCATTGAAGAGAGAAGCCAAATTTCATAACTTTTCTAGTCTCAGAGCATAGGAGTGGACATACAAAGGAAGGAAGGAAAGAAGGAAGGAAGGAAGGAAGGAAGGCAGTTGGGCACAATCCCTGAAACCAACTCTGTACCAGACACCTGCAAAGACCACTTACACATGTTGGGGTGGGCATGCGGGGAGCCTGGGTGGTGGAGTCCCTATGACTGATTTACAGTTGTCCTGTCTAATACTAAATATAACCACCCCAGAGCTCAGTAAAAAAGGTTTATTCTCGGCATGAAAGGCAACAGGGACTGATTGGGCAAGGCATGGAAGATTGCTATTACAGTCCACTTCCAAAGGCATTAAAGCAACAAAATCCAAGAATGACTTTAGGCCCTGCCCTGCCTCTCTCGGAATCAACTTTGATTAGAACCATCCTCTGTCCTACATTCTGACAAGCACCCCTCCCATCCCCAGTGGTTGTGAGAAGAGGTGTTTGACTTTGATTTACTGAAGAAAATTGTACATCAATTTGCTGTATTTTTCCAGAACTGTGAGCATTTCCCATGCCCCCGGAATTTTCTCACAGCTAGCCTGGTCCAAGTAGTCCTGACAAGGATCTCCAGCTGGGCTAATGAGTGACAGCTGGCCTCCAAACACTGCATCTTCTCAAATGTCTGCCTGCTTCTCCTGAAGCTTGAGTACCACCTGGTGGACATTAGGGGAGGTGCCTCCTCCGTGGTCCTCCTCAGGTAGAGCATCAGAAAGACAGTGTGAGGCCTGGGAAAAATGTTTCCGAAAGACAACATGCAGTGAAAACATTTGGGTCATATGAATAGAATGAAAGTCAAGGCACTTTGGATGATAGAAAGCAGGAATACAGGAATGAGTCTCTGTCCCTCCGCAGAGTGATCTTCGCAGGAGAACAGGAAGTCAGAGAGCAATGCAGAGGTAAGGAGACATGTAGTTTCCTTGTGCACAGTCATTTGCAGGAAAGCTATATGAGCAGAAAGAGCTCCCTTCTGCTTTTTTCTTTCTTCCTTTAGTGACTAAACCTTATTTATGCAACTGACAGCAAAGCTTAAGGCAGCCCCAGAAAGGATCTGATCCAGCCTTCCAGATAGCTGCTGGAAGGTATGTGAGGAACCAAAATGGGTGCCTTCCATGTTTCATGGGACTTGAATATGATTTCTATCAATGCGTCTATTAAAGGATTAACTCGGGTGGTCCTAGTCCCTTTTCTAACTCATCCATTGAATTCTGTGGCTGGGCTGGATTTTGATTTTCGGTCCACATTGAATCTCTAGCTGCCCAGAGCTGTCTGAAAGCTCAGCCAGCATCTGAGGCCAGATGGTAAGTATCTCATCCAGCCTCTGGGCACATATTGCCAAAGCATGATCTGAGAAGAACCAGGAGAAGTAAACAGGGACAGCTGCCCATAGGGCTGGTCACTGGAACAGAGGGACAAGCTGAATGGGCTTTATGTAATAAGACAGACAATTCCCAATGTGGGAGAATGTGGTGCCTTGGGATGCTGGCCATACTCCTTCAGAAAAGCTTTCACACCTTCTCCCTTAAGTAGGACATTCCTTTAACAGAAAACAAAATGTCAAACAGAAATAAAAATTTAACATCCAAATTCCCTTAGGAGAGGCAACAGAGTAACTTAAATTTACTCTAAGTGAAATTAGCTGATAATACAACCATGTTAACCAACATTTATTGAGCCCATACTATGTATTTGGTGCTGATAAGTTCTTGATGCATATAACCTAAATATTCTTTTTCTCTTCAGTTTTTCAGTTGAAAAAACTCATCACAGAGAAGTTGATAACATGCCCAAGTTCTACTAGAATCAAATATTGGATGCAGAGTGTCCGAGGTAGAACACGCTCATGTAATCACCTCACTGTATTGTTTCTCCATGCAGCCTGATGTTACTCTCTTAAAAGTAGGTTTATGTGATAGGGAGGGCACTTAGATCACAAACTGAGAGGGGGAGAACCATGGTGGCAGAAAGGGTGAAGGGATTAAGGCTTCTCCAAGCTTAATCTTGGTTTATATTTTAACCTAGGGGCAAGGGGAAGAGGCTGCCTGCTTCCTTTATCAGTCTGACAGAGCAGCAAAAGACTCCTTCTGTGGATCTCAAATTATGTACCTAGTTATCTGTCCATATGGGGAAACTTCACTGTACTTGCTATTTTAATTTTTAGTCTTTATTCAAAGGAGCTTCCCATGGGGTTCCAATGCCATTGGTGTTATTTTGATTCTTGTCAACATCTACCAAGCATTCCCAGAGTGTTGGATGTCACAGAGAAGGAAAATAGGATTTCACAGACACCAAATATGATTTTGAGGCTGCTTTTGAACACAGCAAGTGGAAGACTGAAACATTTGTCCTGATAAATTTGGCTAAATTGTGATTTCCCCCATGATAGCAGAATGAAACAGCAGCTGAGTTGCTGCTTGAATCCTCTGAACTCTTCGCGTCCCGGGTAGGTGCATGGGCTA